TGTAGTTTATTTAGATGGGTCATATGTAAGCAGTCTGACAGTAATAAATTAAAGTTTAAATATATTCTAGGCAAATCATCCTTTTCTATTTTGACCACTGGCTCATCTCACTTAAGAGAGTTACAAAATGACAAATTGAGGGGCCGGCCTGGTGGCGCACTGCTACAGTGCGCCGCTTGAGAGCGCAGTGGCGCTCCCACCAAGGGTTCAGATCCCACATACAGACCGGTTCCCGCTCAATGGCTGAGCAAGGTGCGGGAGCAATACCGAGGGTTGCGATCCCGTTGCCGGTCCTGGTCCGGTACGGGCGCGACACTGAGGGTTGCAATCCGTTGCCGGACACGAAAAAAGACAAAAAGGAAAAAAAAAAAAAAGTTATTTTGCTCAACAGGAGATCATCTTCACATGTCAGTAATTAAAACAAAGCATGTCTAACTGACTTGACTGTGGGGGTTAGCCAACTTTTTCTTAAAATGTCAGACAATAAATATTTTAGGCTTTGCAGGCCACACACAAACGCTAAAATCTGTCACAACTATTCAATTCCTCTGTTGCAGCACAAAAACAGCCACAGACAATTCATAAACAAATCAAGTGGCTGTGTTCCAATAAAAGTTTATTTTCAAAAGCAGGCAGGCAGTGGGCCAGAAACCACCAGCCCCTGCTTTAGAGTGAGTAAAGACTTTGCCAATACCCAAATCTCTCCACAGCTTCTTTAATTCAACAAACATTTATTACGCACCTACCCTGTGCCAAGCACCGTCCTGTGTACTGGAGAAACAATGGTGAAGGAGACACTGATCCTGCACCCAAGAGGTTCACAATCAGGTGGGCTAGACAGAGATGTAAACAAACTATTATCATGCTGTGCAAAGTGCTTGGTACTTTGTAGGTGTTGAGTAAATGTGTGTTGAGAGAGTGACTGAATTCAATCTTCCAACAAATATGCATCAAGCCTACTTTCTGCTAGGCACCTTTCTACATGTAGACCTTCCTAGATATGGCTACATCAGGAAACAAAACAAACAAATGGAGCTGATATTCTAGAGGGAGAAGACAGACAATAAACAAAATATTAGGTCAATAATATAATATGCTAAAAGTTGATAAATGCTATCCAGAAAACTAAAGTAGATAAGGATAGGAAATACCAGGGGTGGGGTGAGGATTGCGATTTCAAGTATGGTGATTAAGGAAGGCCCCACTGAGAAGGTAACATCTGGGCAGATTAAAGAGAAGGAGCCAGATACCTGGGGGAAGAACACTCCAGCCTGAGGCAGGAGCATGGCTACTGGATCTGAGGAAGAGCCAAGCGGCCAATGGGCTGGAGAGCAATAAACAATGGGAGCAGTAGAAGAGGATGAAAGAGAGGTACTGGGGGACGGTCTGTGTGTGGTCTTGTAGACTCTTCTAAGGACACTGAGGAGCCACTGGAAAATTCAGAGTTAAGGAGTAACATGATCAGACTTAGGCTTCTACAGGCTCCCTCTGGCTGTCTTGCTGAGAACAGACAGTAAGGGGTTTAGGAGAGAAATAAGGAGACCAATTAGGAGAATACTGGGATAATATAGGCCAGAATCACGGTGGTTTAGACCAGGATGGTAGGAGGATAAGTAGGTGAGAACTGGATGAATTCTGGATATTTTAAAAGCAGCCAACAGAAACAAATGAAATGAGGTGAAATGAAGTGAAATATATAATGTTCGGAGAGGAAAGCACACCTAAGTAAGCCTGGGGAGAGCCAAAAAGATGGCAGACTGGAGCTGAGTCTTAAAGAGGCAGCAGGCAGGCACGTAGGTCCTACTCAAGCCTCAGCTCAAATATCAGTTTCTTGGGAAACTCTTGCCTGACCCACCTCTTCCACACCAGGGTACCTTATACTTTGTCACTCCTGACACTGATCATATGACTTCTCATTTTTTGTTTAGCTGTCTATCTTCTTGAATGGTAACCAGGTTCAAGGCTGAATCCCAGTGCCTAGCCCAGAGTCTGGCATGAAGGAGATGTACTGTCGGCTCAGTTAAGGACTAGGCCTATCAATTTTCTGCTTCTAACTGCCTGTGGGCAGGAAGAGTACAAACAATGGTTTGTTGGATTTTGTGTTTAAAGTAAAAGTTAACAGGTTCTGAAGGAAAACCTGAAGTGGCCTACAAGTTAAGGTGTTCTCCAGAAATAAACCTTGTCACACTTACGCTGTCTGCTCTAGAAATGTCTTCCTTTTGTACATATCTCATCACTTGGAGAAGAGAAAAAAACACAAGTCAAAATATCTCCAAGAGGGCCGGCCCAGTGGCGCACTGCTACCGTGCGCGGCTTGGGAGCGGGGTGGCACTCCCGCCGAGGGTTCAGATCCCACATACAGACCGGTTCCCGCTCACTGGCTGAGCGAGGTGCGGGCGCAACACCGAGGGTTGCGATCCCGTTGCCGGTCCGGGTCCGGTACGGGCGCGACACTGAGGGTTGCGATCCGTTGCCGGACACGAAAAAAGACAAAAAAAAAAAAAGGAAAGTATCTCCAAGATATTTCAACAAGGCAAATTATTAGCACTACCCACAGAGACACTTAAAATAGCACTCACTTTTTTCAGAAATAAAAATTACAAAGAATACTTAGCAAGACCCAGACTGCCAAGTCTCCTCATAATCCAGCTTAAACACAATACACTGCTTATTTACTCAGTGACGTCTCCTGTGGTCTAATCAGCCCTTTGTCTCCAAAGGGCAGGCCCGTGTAGGAATGCTGGATCTCAGCCGGCAAATGGAATCCAGCAGCCTGCCAGGAAGGCCTTGGCACACTAAAATCCAGACAGGAGCTCTCCTGGGCCTCCACCCACTCAGCAGTAGAGACCAACAGAACCCCTGATCCTAGTCTCCAATTCAATGTTCAGCCTCCATGCAGTCGTTCAGTTCAGCAAACACCGGCTGAATTCCTATGGACTTGGTAGCAAGAAATAAAACTCATGAAGTTATGGCCTAAAGGACATCAATTCCTCTAGTCCCATTTTTATGTAAGGAAGTGGAGAGCAAATCAATACGTACATAAAATACTGAGCACCTACTGTGTGCCAGGTGTAGACAGACTCTGGGCCCCAGAGACATAAAAGGCTAGTCCCAAGACTCAAGGTGCTCATGGTCTAGTGTCTACTTCCCTTGTTCTTACTCAAGAAAATGCCTGACTTTATGTACTTACCACCATTTCCCAAAACAGCATTGGGGCTGATGCCATCCAGGTCCTCTGGTAAATTTGGAACAAGGCCACTAGGAGAGAACAGGTGGGATAAGAGATGAACTAGTGTTTGGACAACAGAGACTTAAGACTGCTTGGACTGTGCATGACAACCACCAGACCACGGCCAAGAGGCATGAAGCACAGAGGTGACGAACTCAGGCTTTAGGGCTGAGTTCTGGCTTTAGAACTAAGCTCCTGCTCTAACACTTGGTAGCTGAGTAACCTTCCACAAGGTCATTCATTCATTCAGTCATGCATCAAATGTTCTGTATGCCAAATACTGTGCTAGGTGCAGAAGCACTATGCCAAGTGTAAGCTACTTATGTTTCTAAGTCTTACTTTCTTAATCTGTTACAACATGGGGATACCACTCTCTCCTGTAAAAATTAAATTAGTTAATGTGTATAAATACTTGGCATATAGTAAATGCTCAATAAATAGCACCTACTATTTTTACTATTATTATCATTAATATGCCTATCATAACTTCTGGGAATCAGGTACCAATTCTGATGCTTTAAGAACGTCAAACACGAATGTACAATTCATTGATCCCAAAAAGTTATGCTGGTTGAATTACATAAATAGGTCCAGTGAAGATCAGGAAGCACTGACGGAAAACAGGTGTGGTTTGACGCAAAAGACACTACCCTGGGTTCTATTCTAAACTCTGTCGTATACCTCTCCAAGCCTCACTTCCTTCACCTGTAAAAAGAAAACAGCAGCTACTTCATAAAGTAATTGGCAATTAAACAAGATATAAAGTGCCCCAGCAAGGTACCTAGCTTATTGTGGGAACTCCATAAATGGGAGCAAAATATCAACCACCTTGAAACACACAGTGCTTTACAATGTATAAAAGATTTGCCATCATTAGAAAATGCCCAGTTCCCTGAGGGTTCACGCATGTTTCAGTGGAAGGCTCTAAGACCCAGACAATTTCAGTGTCTTAGCCAGAGTCATATGGCAGTTAAGTGAAGAACCACATCCACAACCCAGGCCTTTATGTCTAACCCCAATGACACTTCCCTGTGCCAAGCTGTAAACTCCAAGCTGATGGAAGTTCAACTTGACTTGTTGGCAGTTTGCTCTTTCCATGCCTCTAAATCCAAATTTATCCTGCTCCTGGGACAATTTTGCCTGATCACCAAACCTAGGAGTTAGAATGGACCTTCAAGATCAGGACTGAGCAAAAAATTAGAAATATGAAATTCCAGCATCAGGAAAATCATTACATAAAATGTATCTGCTACAAAAATAACTGAAAAAACTTGAATATTCTCAATTATAAAAAAAAAAAATGCATACATATACATTAAAGTCACCTCAAATCTTTTTTGGAACTGGTTGTCTGAAAATACATAACAAGACAAAGGAAATACACCGGAACATTAAAAGTCATCATTTACAGGGAAATGAGAGGTGTTTTTCTCCTTTTCAATGTTCTATAATCCTCAATTTCCTCCAATAAGCAACACTAAAAGGACAAAGTCCATTTTCTAAAGTGAATTTTAAAAATTAAAATCAAGTTCAAACCACCTTTTGCAAATGGTGGCCCAGAGGCCCAAGGTCATATGCCAGGTTGTTGGCCAAGTTTAGCCTAGAGTGTGATCCTACATTCTCAGTCTGGGGTTCTCTCCATCACAGCCAATATATTAACTCATACTGGCTGAAATCGTCCATCAGTAACTCAAGCCAAGATCAATCATGGCTGAAAACTACCTGGCAGGCAAAGCAAAAGATTTTGGTCTTAGACAAGCTTCCAGCAGGCAAACATGAAGTTTGAAAAACGACATTTGACAACCCAACTCTGAGATGAAACCACTGTGTTATGCAGAAATTCCTGCCTGGTTCCTGCCAAATTTCCACAGGGACTTTACCTACCCACTTTTAAAATGCTATGAATCTCTGTCACCTGCACTCTCCAGTCAGTTCCAACCACACCTCCAGCCCCACATAGCTCTCCCTTTCCATTCTGATTATTGACTCTTGGCCTTAGAATTAAGGTTGGGACCTCAGGAGATCCACTACAAATAAAAACAATGCAATCAAAAGAGGGCTTTGATTGGGCCGGCCCGGTGGCGCACTGGATAGTGCGCCGCTTGGGAAGCGCGGCGGCGCTCCCGTCCGAGGGTTCGGATCCCACATACAGACCGGCTCCCGCTCACTGGCTGAGCGAGGCGCGGGAGCAACACCGAGGGTTGCGATCCCGTTGCCGGTCCCCGGTCCGGTACGGGGGCAACACTGAGGGTTGCGATCCGTTGCCGGACACGGAAAAAAGACAAAAATGACAAAAAAAAAAAAAAGAGGGCTTTGATATGATTTTATCATTGCATGTATGGGAAGACTGAGGCCCAGAAATGGGTAGGAACTTATTTTCTCAAAATCACAAAGGGTTAATGACAAAGCTGAGACCAAATCCAGGTTCTCAGTGCCCTTTCCACTTACTTAACTGTGTCTGGGCCACCCAAAGCTCCTATACGAATGTGGCACATGGTGGAGTGCCAACTTCCTAACATGCAAAATAATGCAGAATCATGAGAAACCTAGCCTGTAGGTGGTACCTACGCCACGCAGGCACCATGTTCACTGTAAGTCATTCAATCCTCTCCAAAGCCCTCTTGTAGTAGGTGGTATTTTTTAAATGTTGCTTTTTATTTTTTATATAATGAGGAAACAGAAGCCCAGAAAAGTTAAAATGCTGGAAACCCCAAGCTGGCCTGATTTCAGACCCCAGGCTCTAAACCTCTACACCACCCCAGCACCCCTAATGCCTTCCTCGAGGGTGTGGTGGTAGTGCTGAGGATCAAATGAACCAAGGCAGAGGCTTCCAGCAATCATCACAGTGCACAGCCACCATGGCTGCTGTTTGTCAACTACCTGTTGACTGAATGAATGGACCCTCACCTGAGCTTCACCATCTCATCCTCCTTTCTTGCTCTATTGCCACCCAAAAGAAGCGATCTCTTTCTGTGCCTACATATGCCAGCAACAATTGTCCATTCACTCCACAAGACCCAACAAGGACTAAGCACTTCAATGATAAAGTGTTATGACAGCCATGGATGGGACTGGACATCACACTCAGAAAACAGTTACACCGAAAAGTGCACTTTTGTTTGTCTTTTAACAATTCATTTTTCATTCTGTTACTCTTAATTAGAAAAGAAATAAATACAAAAAACACAGATGAGCCCACAATTCTCCTCGGCTACTCCTCATTCCCATCTTAGTTCCCTCCATGGAGGTATCCTTCCAGATCTTTTCCTGTGTATTTACATACATAGAGATATAGTTTTAATTTTGCAGCTTAAAAGTAAAACAAATGCAATCAAACGATATATGTTATTCTGCAACATCTTTCCTCTGCTTAACGTGTCCTAAAGATGTTTTCATGACAGTACAGATAGATCTGCCTCAATGTTTTTAATTTTTTAACTCCCACAAAGTATTCTTCAGCAGTTTTTCAAACTTTATTGACGATGATGCATAGAAATCTATTACTCCTTTTTTTTTTTTTCCTTTTTGTCTTTTTTCGTGTCCGGCAATGGATCGCAACCCTCAGTGTCGTGCCTGTACCGGACCGGGACCGGCAACGGACTCACAACCCTCGGTGCTGCGCCCGCACCTCGCTCAGCCATTGAGCAGGAACCGGTCTGTATGTGGGATCCGAACCCTCGGCAGGAGCGCCGCTGCGCTCCCAAGCGGCGCACTGTAGCAGTGCGCCACCAGGCCAGCCCGAAATCTATTACTCCTAATCCCTGAAATGTTTTCTATTCAGTTCTATTAAAAAAAAAAAAAAAGATGACCTGTAAGGGGATCTCGACCCTTGATTTGGTGTTGTCAGCACCACGCTCTCCCAAGTGAACTAACCGGCCATCCCTATATAGGGATCCGAACCCGTAGCCTTGGTGTTATCAGCACCACACTCTCCCGAGTGAGCCACGGGCCGGTCCTATGTTCTATTTTTTTAAATCCTGGTTGCTACCTAGTAAACTGAATTTCATGAGCTACCAATGGGTCACAAACAGTCTGAAAGACACTTTTGGAAGGATGTGTATTTACCCAATCCCCTACTGATAGTAATTCAATTTGTTTCCAAGATTTTCTTTTACAAACAATGCCATATGAATATCCCTATAAAGGTCCCATTGTGCACATGTATGAGAATTTCTCTAGGAGAGATAACAAGTGTAATTGCTGGCTCAAAACATATTCACGTTTTCTTAAATGGGCAAAAGATCTGAATAGACATTTCTCCACAGAAAATATACAAATGTCTAATGAGCACATGAAAAGATACTCAACATCATTAGTCATTACAGAAATGTAAATCAATACCACAATGAGACACCATGTCACACACCCAAGGATGGTTATAATCAAAAGGACAGATAACAGAAAGTGCGAGTGAGGATATGGAGAAATTAGAACCCTCATATACCACTGGTGGGAGTGTAAAATGCTACAGCCACTTTGGAAAAGAGTTGGGTGGTTCTTCAAAATGTTAAACATAGGGTTACTAAATGACCCAGCAATTCCACTCCTAGGTATACACTCAAGAGATATGAAAATGTATGTCCACACAAAAACTTGTGCATGAATACACGTTCATAGTGACATTATTCATAATAGATGAAAAGTAGAAATGAACTAAACTTCCATCAAAATAAACAAAATGTGATACATGTGTACAATGGAATATTACTCAGCCATAAAAAGGAATTAATACTAACAACAACAACAAAAACCAGAAAATAACAAGTGCTGGTGAGGATGTAGAGAAACTGGAACACTTGTGCACTGTTGGTGGGAATGTAAAATGATGGTATAGCTGCTGTGGAAAACAGTATGGCAGTTCTGTGAAAAACTAAAAGTAGAATTACCATATGATACAGCAATTTCACTTCTGGGTATACACCCAAAAGAACTGAAAGCACAATTTCGAAGAGATATTTATACACCCATATTCACAGCAGCATTATTCACAATAGCTAAAACATGGAAGCAACCCAAGTATTTAGCAACAATTGAATGGATAAGCAAATTGTGGTACATAACACACAATGGAATATTATTCAGCTTTAAAAAGAACGGAAATTTTGTCATATGCTTCAACACAGATGAACCTTGAGGACATTATGCTAAATGGAATAAGCCAGGTACAAAAAAAAAAAAATACTGTATGATTCCATTTACATGAGGTACTTAGAGTAGTCAAAAATCAGAGACAGAAAGTAGAATCGTGGTTGCCAGGGGCTGGAGGAAGAATGGAATAGGGAGTCCCTGTTTAATGAGTAAAGAATTTCATTTTTACATGATGAAATGAGTTATGGAGATGAATGGTGGTGATGGTTACACAATAGTACGAATGTATTTATACAACTGAACCATACACCTAAAAGTGGTTATGATGGTAAATCATGTTATATATATTTTACCACAATGAAAAAAATAAATTTTTTTTAAAAAAGGAATGAAGTACTGATACATGTTACAACATGAATGAACCTCACAAAAGACACGTATTATAAGACCCATTCATATAAAATGTCCAGGATAGGCAACTCTGTACAGACAGAAAGTAGACAGTGATTGCCGAGGGCTGAGCTGGGGGAGAGGGGAGTGGAAGAACGGGAAGCGACTGTTGATGGGCACAGGGTTTCTTCTTTGGATACTGAAAATGCTCTAAAATTAGATTATGGTGATGGATGCACAACTTTGTAAATATACTAAAATAATTACTTTAAATAGGTGAAATTTATAGCATGTAAATTATATCTCAATAAACTGTTAAACACACATGGGCACATTTTTATTATTAATAGATAATGCCAAACTGTGTTCCTGAAAGACTGTACCAGTTGACACTGTGTATGCATTTTTTTACATATCTTTATTATGTATACACTTTTTCACAGTGATTACAAAGCAGCATTTCACTACTAAATATGGAGTCTATACTGACACGGTATGTAACTTTTCAAATGGAGATTGAATAAAATGGATTCATTCAACAAATATTTGTTGAACCTCTACTACGCGTCAGACATGGTTCTAGGTGCTACTATGTGCCAGACATGGTTCTACAGTGGAAATCAAACAAGAAGGACTCCCTGCACTCATTAGTGGGGAACACTCTCCTCAAGCCTCACAGCCTAGGGGTACCCCCAATCCAAGGTCAGCTCTCCTACCACCATCAAACCTTCACCAGAAATTTCATCTCACCATCCTCTTTCCTGATCTCTTCTACAGAAGTCCATGAGGCACTCTTTGCCCAAGAAAGTACAGACTGTGCTTATAGGAAAACTTTTGTTTTTGATCTGTTCCTAACTAGACAGCAAGCACTTGTTGCTCCAGACCACGTGCTGGAGGAACCCATGGATGAAAAAGCCTGGGCTCAGGCCTTAGCAAGCTCACAGCTGGGCAGAAGTAAACTCCAAGGCATGAAAACAAAGGGATGGACCCAGGGTTGTGGGCACAGACGATTCTGTCCAGGACACAGTGCGTGGTGGTAACAGTATAACAAAACTAGCTAACATTTAATGCACTCCCTAGTAGGTGCCAGGCATCTAACATGTACAATCTTACTTCATCCACACAGCCACACAATAAAATAGGCATTATCACCAAAGAGAAACCAACGTCAGAAGGGCTAAGTGAATTACTCACAATAACACACAGCAACTGGCTGAACCACGACTCATACCCACCCATCCTGACTACAAAGTCCCGGTTCTTTCCACACAACAAGGCAGGACTCAGTAAATGGCATTAGTTTCGGCAAGGTCACTGAGGCTGGAATCTGGGCCTAACGTCCTCAGAGCTGAAGCTGTTTGGGGCACCAACAGGTGATCAAGTTTGGAGGGAATGATGCACACTAACTAATTCAACAAAAATCTAAGGACAAACTAGACTCCAGTTTAGTCTTTAAAACTGGGGCTTGGAAATTCTCAAGCAGAAAAGTGTTCAGAAAGCAGTATATTAAGTCTCATGCTGTACCAACTAAGCTAGAAAGTAGTATACTAGAATAAAAAAGGGTGATTTTATTCTAGGGATTTTTCTCTTCCATTGTAATCACCTAATGGAGAACCTATGTCTCTCTGGATATTTCTGCCACTCTCTATGGACCAGTTCAAGGGCCAGGAGCTCTGTAAAACCCTCCTGGAATCCTCCTAGTCAGAATTGGTTCAGAGAACTAGTTGGAAGGCAGCACAGGGTACTGAGAGCCAGGCTTCGGCATCAGTAAGCTTGGATTTAAATCCTGACTCAATTGTGTACTTCCTGTGTGATCCCAAGCCATTTGCTTCACCTCTCTGAGCCTCAAAGTCCCCAGTATAGAGGGGATAATACTGTCACCTCAAAAGACTATTGTTTATTCAATGATTTAACAAATAGTCACTGAGCCTCTACTATGTGCCAGGTACGAGGTTAGGAACTGAGGTTACAAAAAGGTTCAAAATGCATTCTCTGCACTCCAATGGGTCACAGCCTGACCTCGGAGAAGATAAGTCAACATCTGCACTGTCCAACACGAGAGCCATCAGCCACATGTACTTATTAACCACTTGAAATGTGGTTAGTCCAAATGAGAAGTGCTAAAAATGTAAAATTCATACTGAATTTCTAAGAATTAGTAAGATAAAAAAGAAAGTAAAATATCTCACTAATAATTTTTTCTACTCCAAGTCACTGCAAAAATAAAAAAAAAATTCTACTGATTACAAATTAGAATGATAATATAAGAAAATATTAGGTTAAATAAAATATATTATTAATTTCACCTGTTTCTTTTTATATTTTTTAAAGTGACTGTTAGAAAATTTAAATTACATGTATGGCTTGTATTTCTATTGGACAGTGCTGGTCAACAAAATTCAGTGAGGTCGATAAGGCCTGAGATAGGGTCAGTGACAGGTGGGTGTGGTTGGTTGGGGAATGTCAGTCAGTGAAGGCTTTCTGGCAGTGACATCTAAATTGAGATCTGAAAAGAAAAATAAATTTTAAAAAGAAAATAAATAAATAAATTGAGACTTGAAAAATAATAGGTATTGATAAGGCAAAGGGAAGAAGGGACACCAATCCTGGCAGCAGGAACAGAAAGTGCACAGGCCCAGCAGTGCAAAAGAACAAGGCAAGATCGTTCATGACGAACAGTCTGGCAGCCTAGCATAGAGTGAAGGGCTTGGGGAGGACACAGGATCGGGAGAAAAAGGAGAGAGGAGGCTGAAGAGTTAGACGGGGCCAGATTATGAAGGTCCTTGGAAACAGTATTAAAGAACTTCACCCTGAGGATGACAAGGAGCTAGGGAGGGTCTAAAGCAGGTAAGAGATTAGCTACCAGGAATGTATGCAGTACCTGGGTCCTGCAAAGGCAGGGAGAGGAGGCAATGGAGAATATTTGATGATCTGTTGAGTAGGTACTCTGGGTCAGACACTCAGCAAACCCTTTTAGACTCATTTTAGTCCTTATGCCAACTCTGGGCTTTATACCAACCCATTTTACAGATGATGAAAACTGAGCTCACAGAGGATGAGAAGCTTGCCCAGGGTCATGGGGTCAAGTGGCACAATTGGAACTGAAACCCAGCTAGGTCTGGGTCCCCCAAAGCCCAAGTGTTTGGCCTACCAGCATTGAGATGAGAAGAGATGTCTGCGAGAATAATAACAGGCTTTTATCTTAATGGCAATAAGAAGCATTAAAAGTATAAAGCAGCAGAATGTGAAGATCAGATTTACATTTTAAAAAGCATTTAAATACTAATTGTGCCCATTTCACTCTTAAAGGCCTCCTGGTAGGCACAATAAATATCATGATCACCCTTTCAATTAGGGTCTGTTGGCTAAAAGCAACAGGCAGTCACTAGCAGGACAACCAAAGGGCCCCATCCCTAGAACAGTCTACTCAGTCAGGGCTTCCTACTAGGAGAGACCCTGGTCCCACCAGCAATGGACTCCAACCACCCCTTGGGGAAGGTTCACTGGGAGACCACTCTCCACCATTATTGCCCAATCTGTATCACTATTGATGACAGTAATAATAATAATAATAATAACAATAATAATAATAATAATGGCAACACAAGAAAAAGGTTTAAGCATTGATTATGTGCCACGCACTACACTCGGCAAGCTAATTGCTGGGCAGGCATCATTTCTTTTAATCCTCACCCCAACTCTGCTGGGTGGATATTACTAATAGCCCATTTTACAGATGGGAAAGCAGGTGAAGTCACTTTACGAAGGTCACACAGCTAGTCAGTTTATAGGGCTGGATTTGGAATCCAATTCTGTCCAACTCCGGTCAAGTCTCTTAACCACTGTACTCCACAGCCTCCGTCCAAGGTGGCCACTAAGTGATCCGAAAGTAAAGTCTGAGTATACCGACCACACTCCCCATAAGGAAAACAAACCCCCAAACCACAATGAACCATCAAGTGCCCTCAAGGTCCCTATCCCCCAGTCGGCCCCCACTAATGGCACACTTCAAGTACCCACCCCCCAACTTTCAGAAAACCCTTTACATGTTCTTCACACCCTCTTCAAAGTATGTCCCGAAATACTAGAGGCCAGTGTGGTGCAGATCGGAACCCTCCAGCCCCCCATACTCAGTGTCACCTGGTGGGCCCCCCAGAAACCCTCCCTGAAGGAACCCACTGCACACACTGCCCCGGCCAGACACCCTGAAACACCCTCCAGAGCAAACCCCAAGGCCCCGTTAGAGCGAAACCCCACCAGCTAGAACCCCGGCCCGGTTACCGCGAACCCCCATGCCCGGGCCGCACCTGCAGCCGCTGAGCGTTGGAAGGGTGACGTCCTCTTCCAGCACCGAGCCCATCATGGCCACAGAGGTGGCGACAGCGCCCCTGATTCCCAGCCTTCCGCCAGGCGCCCCAGGTCCCCGCCCCCTCCAACCCAGCTCTTGTTCTGACTCTGGCGGCGCCGCTGGAATTCAAACCACAGCCGCCGCCATCTTTCCCGGCGCTTCTTCCTACGGAAACGAGGCGGGTCACCGAGGCGCGAGCCGTGAAGCCGACCTGTCGGGGCCAGAGGCCGGGCAGGGAAGCGTCGGCAGGCGCCATCTTAACTAAGGGCAGAGCGTCCGCGCTTGGGCAAGCAAGACTAAGGAAAGAGAAGTCGGCTGCCATTTTTTGTGAGGGCGCTCAGGCCGGGACTAGCGTAGACGCCATCTTTGTTGAGGGCGAAAGCCGGCTGTGTCCATTAATCTAAGCGGGAGACGGAAATACAGCCCCTCAAGGATCCTCAGAGTTCGTAACCCTGTGTTTGCTTTTCTAAAATGGGGACCCCAGAACCTTGGGTCTGTGCATCCAAAAGTCGTCAGCCTTGAGTTGGAACGCAGATAATTGAGTACCGCCTCCCTTTAGAAAAATCCTACGGGCGGAATCCTAAAGCAAGCAGTAATTTGCACACTTAGTTTGAAGCAAATAACTCATCCTGTGAGCCAAGGGGTCCGCCACACTCCCACTCCGAGCTCTTATTTAGTGATCCTCTATCACCGTTAGACTCAAACGCAAATGAATCAGTAAACTGAGGCCCAGAGAGAGGAAATGACTCGCCCAAAGTAATACACAGTAAGTCTGTCAACTGGAGCCAGGTCTGCAGCTCCTGCCAACTAGACGAGGGCTCCCTCCATAATCTTGGCTGTTTTTCTTAAAGCACATAGCAATCACCAAACACCTAGATAATTTTGGCAGAGCATAGCCAGTGAAACCAACTTTTCCTTCCCCATCTCAGTGTTGCTCCTACCTCTGCAGGCTGTTGGGAGAGTCCTGGATGAAAATAAGGAAAAGTTCCCCTTCAACCTCAGTTTCCTCATTCTTCAATTAAGTAATTAACCAATTACTTTCCAAAAGAAGGCTTCCCTAATCATTTAATCTAAATCAAGTCTCTTTCTTGTATTCTTAGCCACCCATATTTTTCCTTTGTAGCACTTACCACATTTTGCAATTATATATTTGTGTGTTTTTTTAATGACTTCCTCGTGCCCCATGAGGGAAAGACTGTGTTCCGAATTGTTCATTGCTATATTCTCAACAGGTAGCACTGTGCCTGCTACCCCACAGGTGTTTATGTTAAATGAATGAATGAATGATTCAATCAATTGATCAATCTGGAAAATGGGGATAATAGCTATCCTGCAAGGTTTTTGTAAGATGATCTGAAATACCTTTAGGAGCTCAGTCAATAGTAATTTCATATATCCCATGTATTCTCTCTCTCTGTCTCTCTCTCTCTCTCTGCTTTAGTGAGGCCTACAAAACCCACAGTTCTGTGCCTGGTCCTCTTCTCCCCCAGATCTTCAACCACCCCTAGAATCAGCAATATGATAACAGCCTGATAGAGAGGGATTGGCACACCAGCTGCACTGCCCCAGAAAGGGGAAGTCCTTGAAGCCCAGGAACCAACACTCCTTGCGAATGCTAAGTTCAACCCATGAGGTTAGTGTGTCCAAAAGCAGGGAAGCTGGGGTGTCAGGATTCCGACCCTGGCTCTGCCACTGACTGTGATCTTTGGCAGACCACTATTCCTCTCTGGACCTCAGTTTCTACATCTGCTAAATTGAGGATTGGACTCAATGGACCTCTCTTACAGCTCTGAAGGTGATTTTTGTGTTTACTTCAAAGCTGCTAACACATAGCCAACTCTATTCTGGTAAGGGAGGCTGAGTTACAAATCATCACTTCCCAAATGAAGGATCTAACTTTCCATCCAGCAGGTGAAAGCTCTTGACAAAGAAAACAGGAAGAGGATCTGACTTACACACTTCGAGCATGTCTTAACATGCTGCTTGTGCCAGGTATATCACACCCACCGCCTCATTTAACCCTCACAACAACCTTCTGGAGTAGGTGCTACTATTATACCCATTTCACTTAAGAAGACTGAGGCTGAAAAAGGTAAAAACAACTTACTGAAGGTCCCACTGCTGGTAAGTGCCAGAGCTAGGATTTGAGCCCAGGTCCCTGTCGACTTCAATGCACTACTTGTTTCAAACAGCCTGTTTTCCCTATTTGTTTGTTTTCTCCACTTAAGAATTTAGCATTAAGTGGTGACGTCTACATCCAGACAACAGTATTTAAGTGATGTGTTCACCAGACTCTACTGCTTGGGCAACTGCTTCAAGGTTGCTAAGAGGTGAATCTCAGTGTGGGCAGCATGAGTGCAGGACTGGAAGTCTGGACACCTGGATTCTGACCCTGGAAACTCTTCCCACTTAACCCGTGAGCTGATGTCCCTTCCCCTTGCTACATCTTGTGTAAAGTGGGGCAGACGATGCCAGCTCACATGGTTGCATTATCTAATTAGATACTTTGGAAACTATAAAGAACTCCTGTAAGGAGTTCTCGATATGATTAATCATTGCCCTATTCAGCAAGAACATGTTCCTGAATTGTGGGATAAATCCTTTAGTGAATTAGGAAACTAAAAATAGAATCAATTGCACAAAGGAAAGGCTATTTGGGAAGTTGTTTTTCCTGCTACTATAGTGCTTTCATGCTCAAGGACAGAGGCCTTGGCCCTGTCTCTGTTTTACCATGGCCTTTCTTTCTGCCAACCCTGAAGGTGACGTCACTGCCACCAGCTGTTTGGGCTATCTGGGGCCATCTCCTTGACAACAGTCACCCAGCACAAAGCTGGCATTATTATTTCCTTGGACAAGTACATATCAAGTGTCTGGGAGGAAGTAACTTGCAGCCAGATGTTTTTCATTTGGGCAGAATCCTCCTGAAGTTTTAGCAGCTCAAGACACTTGATCTGCCATTACTAACAGTAAGAATAACTTTATAGGATCAATACATGCACACAGGTACTTTGTGCTATTCCATTTTATCCTCACAACACTGAAGTAGATTGTGATGACTCCCTTGCCCTCTAGATGAGTAAACTAAGGCTCAGAGAAGGAAAAAGATCTGCCAAAGACCACGCTTACTTTCTTTATTTTCTTTTTCTTTCTTTCTTTCTTTCTTATTTATACTTTTCTTTAGAAATAATTTCAGACTTAGAAAAAAATTGCAAAAGCAGTGCAAAGAATTCTTCATATAACCGTCACTCAGTTTCCTAAAATATTATCTTAGAGAACCATAGCACAATTGTCAAAAATAAAAAATTACAGGCCGGCCCGGTGGCGCACTGGATAGTGCGCCGCTTGGGAAGCGCGGCGGCGCTCCCGCCCGAGGGTTCGGATCCCACATACAGACCGGTTCCCGCTCACTGGCTGAGCGAGGCACGGGAGCAACACCGAGGCTTGCGATCCCGTTGCCGGTCCCCGGTCCGGTACGGGGGCAACACTGAGGGTTGCGATCCGTTGCCGGACATGGAAAAAGACAAAAGACAAAAAAATAATAATAATAAATAAATAAATAAATAAATAAATAATTACATTGATACAATTCTATTTCCTACAAATCTTATTTAAATTTAATCATTTTGGGGCCGGCCCGGTGGCGCACTGGAGACTGCGCCGCTTGGGAGCGCGGCGGGGCTCCTGCCAAGGGGTCGGATCCCATGTGGAGACCGGTTCCCACTCACTGGCTGAGCGCGGGGCGGGCGCAACACCGAGGGTTGCGATCCCGTTGCCGGTCCCCGGTACGGGCGTGACACCGAGGGTTGCGATCCCGTTACTGGTCAGTAAAAAAATACAAAAAGGAAAAAAAAAATAAATT